GTATTGGTAGGTCACCCATTATGTAGTACTGTGAAGTGTGTTGCCTAATAGTAAGGCGTTTTTGTAATGTATACATTATTAAGAGGTATTGGTAGGTCACCCATTATGTAGTACTGTGAAGTGTGTTGCCTAATAGTAAGGCGTTTTTGTAATGTATACATTATTAAGAGGTATTGCTAGGTCACCCATTATGTAGTACTGTGAAGTGTGTTGCCTAATAGTAAGGCGTTTTTGTAATGTATACATTATTAAGAGGTATTGGTAGGTCACCCATTATGTAGTACTGTGACGTGTGTTGCCTAATAGTAAGGCGTTTTTATAATGTATAGTGCAAGAGGTTGCGCTATTGTTGACCGATGAAGTGTGAAGAAATTTTCAAAACCCAAAATTTGCTTTGGAAGGAGTGTGACCTTGAAATTTATTGGTAGGTCACCCATTATGTAGTACTGTGAAGTGTGTTGCCTAATAGTAAGGCGTTTTTGTAATGTATACATTATTAAGAGGTATTGGTAGGTCACCCATTATGTAGTACTGTGAAGTGTGTTGCCTAATAGTAAGGCGTTTTTGTAATGTATACATTATTAAGAGGTATTGGTAGGTCACCCATTATGTAGTACTGTGAAGTGTGTTGCCTAATAGTAAGGCGTTTTTGTAATGTATACATTATTAAGAGGTATTGGTAGGTCACCCATTATGTAGTACTGTGACGTGTGTTGCCTAATAGTAAGGCGTTTTTGTAATGTATAGTGCAAGAGGTTGCGCTATTGTTGACCGATGAAGTGTGAAGAAATTTTCAAAACCCAAAAGTTGCTTTGGAAGGAGTGTGACCTTGAAATTTATTGGTAGGTCACCCATTATGTAGTACTGTGAAGTGTGTTGCCTAATAGTAAGGCGTTTTTGTAATGTTGGTTGCGCTATTGTTGACCGATGAAGTGTGAAGAAATTTTCAAAACCCAAAAGAAGTTGCTTTGGAAGGAGTGTGATTTGGATGTTATCCTATCAAACAACTGAAACAACCCGTAGGGGGTATTACCACTTGAGGACAAAAACATTGAGAAATTTTGATTCGATTTTATCAAGATAGTGAAAAATTAGTGTGTGTAGAATGAGCGATTATTGGGACAAATCTGTGTTGGGGGAGATGTGTTGCTTTTCCAATTTTTAGCAGTTCAGCAAATATGCGTAGACGATGCTCAGTTGATTGACATCCGCCAATTTGGTCATGAAGTTGTCTGTCATAAAGATATGTGACATTTCCAAAAAACAGGCGTTTTGATAGATGTTTTTCTCTGTCTAGCACCACGATATCGTTGTATCCCATTTGATGCCCTGTGGAATTCACGTGTGAAGCTAGAGTACATCTTTCTGGATGCAGTCTGGCATCACTTTTATGTGAGGTTATTCTACCTTTAAGGGATCTTGAGGTTTGACCTATGTATGTCAGATTGCAATTATTACAATTGATGGAGTAGACAATGTTGGATAGGCCAAGCAGAGGAACTCTATCTTTCATTTTGGAGAAGAGATTGTTGAGTGTGGATTTGTAAGCAATACGGCAATTTAGTGCTGCATAATCTAGAAAGTTTTGGTGTTAGATCTTTAATGTATGGGAGCACTGCGAACTGCGAAACTAGTTCTGGAAATTGATGGAATGTCTGAATCATTAAGAGGATTGTAATTGTTAGACGATGAAGAAAAAATTCTTCGTAAGCTTCAGATTTTAAGTTATAAAAGTGTACTTTTGCAATACTTTGTCTTCTACCCAAAGAAATGAAAGGATATCTTCTCCTAACAGTTAAGGCAATACACTATGAATTATATATATATATATATATATATATATATATATATATATAACTTGAGACGTGGTCATTGTCGTCTAAACCAGTTAGGTGAAAAATTAAAGCTTCCGCCTTTTGTTGGGTACTTCGACAAAATTTAAGCAAAGAGGACTCTTTATACTTTTTTTAATTCTATCTAGCTTTCAATGGACTTTGCCATCATCATCAGGAGCTGCAATTACAATGATAACAGTAGCAACAAAAGTGTAAAATGAATTTAAATTGAATCAACTTACTTGTCTTGTCATATTTTATATAATTTTAACCATTGTACCATGTATCCAGCTCTCACCATGTTACTGGACGTTTCCCTCATCCTATACGAAAACAACAATTAGCAACATCCTCACATACTACTGTAAGTTGATTCAATTTAAATTCATTTTACACTTTTGTTGCTACTGTTATCATTGTAATTGCAGCTCCTGATGATGATGGCAAAGTCCATTGAAAGCTAGAGAGAATTAAAAAAAGTATAAAGAGTCCTCTTTGCTTAAATTTTGTCGAAGTACCCAACAAAAGGCGGAAGCTTTAATTTTTCACCTATATATATATATATATATATATATGGGTCAAAGTATACATAAAAATGACAAATCAAAGTTTCTTATAAGTACCGAGTTTTCAGATCTACGCCACTTATCAACCATCGCAACATACGGTCGGAGCTCCGACACGCTTTTGCGCTAGAACATTTGGATAGGCAACATTCTCCATCGATAGGACGTGCAGGCACTGTCGCTTGGCCACCCCGATCACCCGATTTAACGCCCATAGATTATTTTTTCTGGGGCACAATGAAGCAAAAACTCTACTGTCGTGTGTCGACGACACGGGAAGAGCTCGTTGAAACGATCCATACCGCTGCGAACGAAATTAGAGCTGACACGGATATGACCCGCTGCTCAACACGACACATTGTTTCAAGAACTACAATGTGCATAACCAATAATGGAGGGCATTTTGAACAGCTTCTGTAACGTTAAACATGTCCAAGCTATTTATAAGAAACTGACTGATTTGTCATTTTTATGTATACTTTGACCCATGTTAGATAGCATTTATTACTTAACGTAGAAGAAATTTGGTGTCATTTTGTAGATAACATAGTTAGCAGTAGAATTAGCACGAAAAAAGTACAACTTTACAAACTAGTTTTTGAATGGTGTGCGGAAATGCATAAAATAATCAAGGACTCTTTATACTTTTTTAATTCTCTCTAGCTTTCAATGGACTTTGCCATCATCATCAGGAGCTGCAATTACAATGATAACAGTAGCAACAAAAGTGTAAAATGAATTTAAATCGAATCAACTTACAGTAGTATGTGAGGATGTTGCTAATTGTTGTTTTCGTATAGGATGAGGGAAACGTCCAGTAACATGGTGAGAGCTGGATAGATGGTACAATGGTCAAAATTATATAAAATATGACGAGAACAAGTTAAAAACAGATTAAAAATTATTTAAAAAACATTAGAGCATTACATCGTGGAGCCACTTGATGATTGCACAAAATGGTGGTCATGGAATAGTGAGTGAGATGAAACCCTTTGACAGAAGGCCGAAGGTTGTCAATGTCTGTGTTGAAAGATGGAACGAATTGTGGGCGTGTGCTAATATTTTTTTTTAAATAATTTTTAATCTGTTTTTAACTTGTTCTTGTCATATTTTATATAATTTTGACCATTGTACCATCTATCCAGCTCTCACCATGTTACTGGACGTTTCCCTCATCCTATACGTAAACAACAATTAGCAACATCCTCACATACTACTATAAGTTGAGTCAATTTAAATTCATTTTACACTTTTGTTGCTACTGTTATCATTGTAATTGCAGCACCTGATGATGATGGCAAAGTCCATTGAAAGCTAGAGAGAATTAAAAAAGTATAAAGAGTCCTCTTTGCTTAAATTTGTCGAAGTACCCAACAAAAGGCGGAAGCTTTAATTTTTCACCTAACTGGTCTAGAAGACAATGACCACGTCTCAATATATATATATATATATATATATATATATATATATATATATATATATCACCTATATATATATATATATAGGTGAAAAATTAAAGCTCCCGCCTTTTGTTGGGTACTTCGACAAAATTTAAGCAAGGAGGACTCTTTATACTTTTTTAATCTCTCTAGCTTTCAATGGTCTTTGCCATCATCATCAGGAGCTACAATTACATTGATAACAGTAGTAACAATAGTGTAAAATGAATTTAAATTTACTTACGGTAGTATGTGAGGATGTTGCTAATTGTTGTTTACGTTAAGGATGAGGGAAACACCCAGTAACATGGTGAAAGCTGAATAAATGGTACAATGGTCAAAATTATACAAACTACACACAGCTGTATGACAAGAACAAGTTAAAAACAGATTAAAAAATTATCCAGCTTTCACCATGTTACTGGGTGTTTCCCTCATCCTTAACGCAAACAATTAGCAACATCCTCAAATACTACTCTCCTGATGATGATGGCAAAGACCATTGAAAGCTAGAGAGTAATCAAGTATAAAGAGTCGTCTGTGCTTAAATTTTGTCGAAGTACCCAACAAAAGGCGGAAGAGACGTGGTCATTGTCGTCTAGACCAGTTAGGTGAAAATTTAAAGCTTTCGCCTTTTGTTGGGTACTTCGACAAAATTTAAGCAAAGAGGACTCTTTATACTTTTTTAATTCTCTCTAGCGTTCAATGGACTTTGCCATCATCATCAGGAGCTGCAATTACAATGATAACAGTGGCAACAAAAGTGTAAAATGAATTTAAATTGAATCAACTTACAGTAGTATGTGAGGATGTTGCTAATTGTTGTTTTCGTATAGGATGAGGGAAACGTCCAGTAACATGGTGAGAGCTGGATACATGGTACAATGGTTAAAATTATATAAAATATGACAAGACAAGTTAAAGACAGATTAAAAATTATTTAGAAAACATTAGAGCATTACGTCGTGAAGCCACTTGATGATTGCACAAAATGGTGGTCATGGAATAATGAGTGAGATGAACCTTTGGCAGAAGGCCGAAGGTTGTCAATGTCTGTGTTGAAAGATGGAACGAATTTCTTTCTTAAATTCTATAAAAACCGACTCCTCCCCAGACAACCTTGTGGAATTATAGAAATAGTATAATCGATTCAATTTTACCTGGGTTATACCTATCTGTGCAGGTGTAGAAATCCCCATGCTTGCAAGGAATCCCCATACCCCATCTATCGTTCACAACAACATCCTCTCTAACAGGACTTTTGTTGTACAACCAAGCCAAAAACTCCGTAGATTTGAAGTAAGTATCATGCGCTTCCCAGTCTCCGTCCGTCCATATGACGGCCGGTTTGTATTTTTCCACCAATTCGTGCATCTCTGGTAACATTTTCTTTTCTACGAACTCATTATTCGTGAAGTTGGATTGTTTGTCGGAAAGGTACATAGGATTGAACCACTCGTAGAGGGAATAATACAGGCCGAAAGTTAAGTTTTCGTCTCTCACTGCTCTTGATAATTCTCCTAGAAGCAAATGAAGTCAATAAAGAGAACATAAAAAGCCCAACGCGACTGAAGTCAACGCGAATAGATGAGTTTACCTTTTCACATCGTAGTGTAAAAAAGAGCGGTATGTTTATCAGACACCCAGTTAAGAAGTGTGTCAATATTGGCTGCAGCTGGCAAATATACAGTGCCTTTCTTTAATGTCCCCTCCCCTTTGATTTTTTGAACGGATCAATTCAAAAAATTAAAACTTGAGATAATGAAATTGATGCGTGATATATGAAAATAGTCTAAAGGTGTCAAATCTGGCGAGCGAGCTGGCCATTCCACAGGACCTCAACGACCGGGGAAATTGTTATCGAAATAATTCCTAACTTGTTTGTAATAGTGTGGTGGAGCACCATCTTGCTGGAATACAATATCAGTAGCGAATTCATTAGGATTCGCTTCGACGATTTCGGTGATTAGAGGGTCAATAGTACTTTACAGCCTATCCAAATACAGTTCCCCGGTCAATGTTTGTTCGATGAATAGAGGCCCCACAATATGATTTCCCAATATCGTTAATTTTTTGTAGATATTGAGTATGAGCTTCCCGGAAGACGTGAGGATTGGTGTCACTCCAAGAAAAACAATTTTGTCTATGCACATTACCGTTGAGAAAAAATGTACATGCATCACTAAAACAAATATTTTGGATATAGGTAGGACGCCGTGCAATGGTTTCCGTCATAGTATCGCAGAATTCTGTTCTTCGATCAGGGTCATCTTCGGTTAGCTGATGTACAATTTGAGTTTTGTTTGGGTGATACTTATTCTTTTTCAAAAGTCTCCGTACAGTAGAAGGACAAACCTTACATACATTCGCGATGGAGGAAGTAGACTGTTGGGGATTTACTATGATCTCACCAATTATTTGAACTTGCTTTTCTTCCGGGATGGTCGGATGACCCGGGGGTTTTTTATTGTTTACTCTACCAGTAGCTGTAAATTTAGATACAAGTTCCCTTAGTTATTGTCTGCAGATAGGACGATTCGGGAAATGATCATTAAAAATCCTTTATGTCTCGTGAAAGTTACGCGTCGCACCATACATAAAAATGGCTTCGATTTTTTCTTCCAGTGGACAAGAATTGACCATTTTAAAAACAGTTCAAACAGTATCTAGCATTAAAACCGAAAACTAAATAAGAATATTTTAACTGTAATGATATTCTTGCCACTGTCAACAAAAAATAACAAAACAAGTTTTTATCGCTGTTGCTGTGTATACTGCAGGGAATTACAATTATTTGTAGAGATATGCACGTTAGTGGGTTTGTGTTCAAGTAATAATTAAATGTACCACCATTTTGTAGTAGGTAAAGGTACTGACTTTATATTCTAGGGCATACGTATATATATAGGCTCATCAGGAGCTTCAAAATGATGTGCCACAAGACCCCCGTTTTCATATAATTTTTTTCCAAGATAGCACCCAGCGGCCATCTTGACATTTTCATTTGTCAATTTTACTCTAAAATATGGTATCGACGCATCAATTTCATTACCTCAAGTTTTAATTTTTCGAATTGGTCCGTTCAAAAAATCAAAGGGGAGGGGACATTAAAGAAAAGCACACCAGGGTGCATCCACACATTATTAAAGGTCAAAGGGCTTTAAAGCAGTGCAATCATTTTGAAATTTTTATCATTTACTTATTATGCTTCATTAAGTACTTATACAAAATTTTATTAAAATAAAACCATTTAAACTGGGTGTTCGGATTTATATGTCACTTAGTATATATACTACAAACATCTGTAATAAATCGTAATAAATCGTTATAATTCGTAATAAATTGTAATAAATCGTAATAAATCGTAATAAATCGTAATAAATCGTAATAAATCATAATAAAGCGTAATAAATCGTTATAATTCGTAATAAATCGAAATAAATCGTAATAAATCGTAATAAATCGTAATAAATCGTAATAAATCGTAATAAATCGTAATAAATCATAATAAATCGTAATAAATCGTAATAAATCGTAATAAATCGTAATAAATCGTAATAAATCGTAATAAATCATAATAAAGCGTAATACATCGTTATAATTCGTAATAAATCGTAATAAATCGTAATAAATCGTAATAAATATCGTAATAAATCGTAATAAATCGTAATAAATCGTTATAATTCGTAATAAATCGTAATAAATCGTAATAAATCGTAATAAATCGTAATAAATCGTAATAAATCGTAATAAATCGTAATAAATCGTAATAAATCGTAATAAATCGTAATAAATCGTAATAAATATCGTAATAAATCGTTGTAATTCGTAATAAATCGTAATAAATCGTAATAAATCGTAATCAATCGTAATAAATCGTAATAAATCGTAATAAATCGTAATAATCGTAATAAATCGTAATAAATCGTAATAAATCGTAATAAATCGTAATAAATCGTAATAAATCGTAATAAATCGTAATAATCATAATAATCGTAATAAATCGTATAAATCGTAATAAATCGTAATAAATCGTAATAAATCATAATAAAGCGTAATACATCGTTATAATTCGTAATAAATCGTAATAAATCGTAATAAATCGTAATAAATCGTAATAAATATCGTAATAAATCGTAATAAATCGTAATAAATCGTTATAATTCGTAATAAATCGTAATAAATCGTAATAAATCGTAATAAATCGTATAAATCGTAATAAATCGTAATAAATCGTAATAAATCGTAATAAATCGTAATAAATATCGTAATAAATCGTTATAATTCGTAATAAATCGTAATAAATCGTAATAAATCGTAATCAATCGTAATAAATCGTAATAAATCGTAATAAATCGTAATAAATCGTAATAAATCGTAATAAATCGTAATAAATCGTAATAAATCGTAATAAATCGTAATAAATCATAATAAATCGTTATAATTCGTAATAAATCGTAATAAATCGTAATAAATCGTAATAAATCGTAATAAATCGTAACAAATCGTAATAAATCGTTATAATTCGTAATAAATCGTAATAAAGCGTAATAAATCATAATAAATCGTAATAAATCGTAATAAATCGTAATAAATCGTAATAAATCGTAATAAATCGTAATAAATCGTAATAAATCGTAATAAATCGTAATAAATCGTAATAAAGCGTAATAAATCGTAATAAATTGAATGAATATTTTATAAATAAATAAGAAATATATTTATTAAATATTAAAAAAATCTGTCGCTACAAATATTTAACAAACGTTTTTTTTAAATATTTAATGCTATCGGGTCGTACACGAAGGCATGCCAAATATGCAAATTTTTAATGTATGTGCCTGTTTGACTGACTTGATCCATTAAATTATGTGTTATATGTGCGTTTTAACAGGGCTTATTTCGATCATAATTCTTTATGATCTGATTACACCGTTGAATGGGAAGTGCAGAGTCAACCTACTCGACGCGATCTTTTCTGCTTACCTACAAGATCCCTTCCCGGTCCGACGTCTTTGGCATTCCAACCATAAGAGTATGTTGATGGCCACAAGGTGTAACCTTCGTGATGTTTGCTCGTCAATACGACGTATCTACAAAACAGCTTATTAAAAAGCTACGAACGCAAATAAAGTTTCTCGAAATATACTTTGCTCCTGATTTTTTGAATAGCTTGGCCCACTTTCGGGGGTCGAAAAATTCAGCTCTAAACTCCTTGGCAAATTCTTGGTACTTGAAATTCGGAGCGTAGTTCTGTTTCATGAGCTGTACGTACGGGCCTTTACCTGAAAAAAACGTATATTTCTTTTGTTTTGTCGAAGCAGCCACGTAGACAGAAGCCTAAATGCAGGGGCATCGCACTTTATTAATTCGATTTTTGAACTGACTAAGGTTATTGGGGCCGTATCGTTAGTTGTTCGTACAACTGAAGAACGCCTTTATGGCCTCCTTGATTTTCATAGCATTTTCTCTTCTTCAGCAAGCTGTGATATTTCTAGATTTCTACTGATCCGTGTCAGCGTCAGCGCTCTCCTATTACGAGGCTATGTTTCCTCTTCGACTTGTAGGCTGATATACTAAGTGTCATATAAATCCGAACACCCATTTTAAATGGTTTTATTTTAAAATTATATATATATATATATATATAATTATTAAAATTTAAACTGGGTGTTCGGATTTATATGTCACTTAGTATATATGAAAGTTATATAGAAACTATCAAACCAGCTATTTTACATCATAAATACTGAAAAGTAATGAATAGAAATAAACAAAATAATAAATTAGTAATTCATAAGATAAAGTAAAAAATAAAAATACTTTTTCTGATCGGAAATATTTAAAAAACAATAATGCGCATTCATCACAAATTTTCAAATAAAAGCATCTTACGTTTTGACAGCAGGATGGAGAAAGTGCATAACACGCTATTATTTGAAAACTTGAGATTAATGAGCTTGATTATCGGTTAAATATTTCCAATCGATTTGAATTTTTAGTTCGTCCTATGAACAGCTAAATAGAAGTTTGTTTATAAAAAGGTATTTGTTTATTTCTGTGCTTATAATCGTGTTTTGAATAGAGCGTGGAATATACCGCCAGATAGAAGATCGACAAAGATTGGTACATACCCGATTTCCAGTCTTCCCAGAACCATTCTGATCCAAAACTGGGAACTGAAAATACGCTCCAATGCAGGAATATCCCGATTTTAACCTCATCGAACCACTTCGGCAAAGGCCTTTTATCTAAACTGTCCCAATTCGGCTCATATTTCACACAACTTATGTAACTCAGACATAAAGAAAATACTAACGATAATCCGACTGACGATTTCATGTTATCAATCACTGAACTTGTACACTATTCTCTATCGTCAAATGGAAATGCACCGAGAAGAGGTTTGTTATTTAAGTGGGCAGTGAACGACTCGTCAACAAATTGTACTCGATAAAAAGCATCCAGGAGCGTACTTGCAGATTTTATGGAATCGAACCATGATAGCAAGGGCGTGCCTAGCTGAAAACGGAAGGGGGCACTTTGAAGAAAAATTCGAAAATCGAATGCGAGGAATATTACTTTCTTCTTCTTTGAAGAGAGAATGCCCACTGTGGCGCGACTATTTCCTCTTCGGAAATAGTTAAAAGGTAGAATTTACTTCAACATTTTGCAACACTCGTCATCATTAAACAGAAATATACTAAGTGACATATAAATCCGAACACCCAGTTTAAATGGTTAATTTAATTTAAATTGAAAAAAAAAATATTAATATTAATGAATATACGCCTGACAAATTTAGTCGTGTCACATTTCCCAGAGATTATCTTTTGTTGCTAATAGAATCTGAAAGTAAATGACAATAGTATATCCTTTTCGATTAATATCTGGAATTTGCATACTTAATTTTTTAAAAATGCGACACTTACCACTTAGACATGTAAGAGATTATATATTTTATACTTTAGATTTATATATTATATTTATATATTATTGAATACGGCTAATAACCATAGAAGTTGACGCCGTCAAAAAAAAAAAATAAAAAAATGGTTTTATTTTAATAAAAGTTGGTGAATGTATTTATCTTACTGTAAATAACAAGTTAAAAATGTTCAGCCTTATCTTGACACCCTGGCAGATCCAACTTTCCAACAAGATAATGCCCGACCACATGTTGCAAGAGTCACAATAGACTTCTTTCAACATAATGATGTCACATTGTTACCATGGCCACCAAGATCTCCCGACTTATCCCCAATTGAGCACGTGTGGGATATGATGGGTAGGAGATTGCTCAATTTGCAACGTCCTCCTCAGACTCTAGAAGCACTTCGAGAGGAGTTGATGGTTGCCTGGAATGAGATACCACAGGAGGACATTGACCACCTGATCAGAAGCACATCAGGGTGCATCGACACATATTAGCAGTGCAATCATTTTGAAATTTTTATCATTTACTTATTATGCTTCATTAAGTACTTTACTTTTACTTTACTAATTCTATGAACTCATCACATATTTGCTGAATATTGTCTGTTTTCTGTCCTGTTTTTGTTTTTATTTCATTAATATTGTTTTTTGAATAGGATGACTTATTGAATATATCATTGACAGTGGACCATAGGTTTCTAGAGTCATGTGGATTATTATTCAATTGTTTTATATAGTAATTTTTTTTGCTTTTCTCAAAAGTTCTATAAATTTGTTTTTATACTGATTATAATGATCTATATTTTCTTTCGAGGGTAAATATTTCATGATTTTATACAGTCTTTCTTTTTCGTTTGCAGATTTTATTAGTCCTTTGGTTATCCAATCATTTCTGCTTTTTTCCTTGTGACTTATTTTAACCTTATTAGTACTAACTTCAATTACTTTTTGAATTTTGTGTATTAATAAATTTGTAACTTCGTCTAAAGAATTTGTTAAAAAAATTTCGTCCCACGATTCCGTTTGTGCGTTAAATATTAATTTTGAGTTGTCAGTGAAATATTTGTATTCAAGGTTTCTTTCATTTTTTGCCCTTGGGCAGTTCTGGTTTTTATTTTGTGAAGATATCAATAATACAGTGGAATAATGATCTGTAATATCGGTTTCATAGATAATAGGCATGTAAGAAAAAATATTGGAAATATCCTTTATAAAGCAGTGATCAATGCAGGTTTTACTGGTGGGTCGTGTTACTTTATTTATGTATGATAAAAAACCATTACTTGACAAAATGTTTAAATATTCTTTCACTATAGAATTTTCCTCTAAAATGTTTATATTGATGTCGCCTATAAATATTTGATTATGAAGGTGATTGTTTTTATTGTTTTTTAATAGTTCATCTATGTCTCTTATAAATGTATGAGGATCTGAAGATGGTGGTCGGTAAACACAAGTAATTTTGACTCTACGATTTTCAATTTGCATTGTTAGATTGATACCTTTTAGTTCATTGTTGATTGTAAATATGTTATGGTTATAAGGCAGATTGTTTCGTACATACACCATCACTCCATCGTTTTGATTATGGTTACCAAAATTATACAATGTATCGTACCCTTCTAAATGAAACAGAGTCACATCGCCCACTTGCCATGTTTCGGATAGAATGATAGAATTAATGCAATGGGTCTATAGTTGTTCATGTCTTTTTTATCTCCTTGTTTGTGAAGAGGTATCACTTTGGTTTTTTTTAATATTTGTGGAAAAATACCAGTACCAAAAACTAGATTTATTATGTGTTTCAATGGAATATTTCTCAATGAGGGCATCAGAACTATTGAGAAATAAATTTCCGGAGGTGTTTTTTCCCGTTTATTGCAATCCTAGATCGCTACCTATAGCTCTCAAAGCCAAAGTCGAAACAGAACTTAAAGATTTAACTAAGGCTGGTATTTTAACACCCATAGAATTTAGCGACTGGGCGACACCCATAGTGCCCGTTTTAAAAAAGAATGGTGATGTACGAATTTGTGGCGACTTTAAGGTCACCTTAAACCCCAAATTACACATTACGAAATACCCTTTACCAAGAGTTGAAGATTTACTAAGTATTGTAAAAAACTGCTCTGTTTTTAGTAAGATTGATCTGGCACAGGCGTATGCTCAAATTCCTTTAGATGACGAATCAAAAAAACTGGTAACAATAAACACACATAAAGGACGAGTCCAGGCATCTTCCAGAAAATGGTGGAGCAGCTCTTTAACAATTTAGAAGGTGTAGCTGTGTTTCTCGACGATATTCTAGTAGCTACTGAAAACGGACAGAAACACCTTCAAATCTTGATAAAGGTTTTCGAGAAGTTAAGTACATACAATTTGACTGTTCATCTCGAGAAGTGCCATTTTGGAGTGCGAAAATTGGACTACTTGAGCTATACAGTCAACAGAGATGGTTTACATACCAATAAACAAAAAATAGAAGCAATCGTTAATATGAAAACGCCCTCAAATGTGACAGAAGTTAAGGCTTTCTTAGGCATGGTAAATTATTATGCTAAATTCATACCAGACATAAGCTCTAAATTGCAACCACTTTATCAGCTGCTGAAGAAAAACCAGCATTTCTTTTGGTCCCATATCCAAAAGAAGGCTTTCAATGACATAAAAAGAGATTTGATTTCATCTAGAGTACTGGTTCATTACGATCCCAATAAAACTGTAACGCTAGCTTGCGACGCTAGTGCTTATGGAATGTCCGCCGTGATTTCACATGTTTTTCCAAATGGTGATAGCCGACCAACTGCTTATGCTTCAAGAATCGTGACTTGACAAAAGTCTGGTAGACAGTGCGATTTTCGAAAGACTGTAGATCTGTATCAGGATCGCAGAAACGGCAAGATGTATCGATGCCATGGATTTGATATTCGTGCTTATCTAATAGCAAGAGCAGAGTCGTATTTGCAAACCTCCTCGCGTTTCTGTGATCCTGATAGCAGATCGTCGTCCACCAATTTTACGAGAAAAGTTCGGTAGACAGTGCGATCTTCGGATGCGTATAGATCTGTATCAGGATCGCAGAAACGGCAAGAGGTATCGATGCCATGGATTTGATATTCGTGCTTATCTAATAGCAAGAGCAGAGTCGTATTTGCAAACCTCCTCGCGTTTCTGTGATCCCGATAGCAGCTCGTCGTCCCAAAAATTTTACGAGAAAGGTTCGGTAGACAGTGCGATTTTCGGATGCGTATAGATCTGTATCAGGATCGCAGAAACGGCAAGAGGTATCGATGCCATGGATTTGAATTTCGTACTTATCTCATACAAATAGCAGAATGCCGTTTGCATACCTCCTCGCCTTCCTGTAAACCTGACAACAATTCCCCAATGAATCATATAGATTTGTATTAGGATTGCAGAAATGACTAGGAGTACCGACGCCAAAGATCAAAATTTCGCGTCAACATCATAGCATGGTAGATTACCATTCTCATACCTCCTCGCGTTTCTGTGATCCTGATAACAACTCCTCATCCACCAACTTCACGACAAAAGTCTGGTAGACAGTGCGATTTTCGAAAGCCTGTAGATCTGTATCAGGATCGCAGAAACGGCAAGAGGTATCAATGCCATGGATTTGAATTTCGTGCTTATCTCATACAAAGAGCAGAATGGCGTTTGCATACCTCCTCGCCTTTCTGTAAACCTGATAACAATTCTCCAATGAATCATATAGATTTGTATTAGGATTGCAGAAATGACTAGGAGTACCGACGCCAAAGATCAAAATTTCGCGCCAACATCATAGCATGGTAGATTACCATTCTCATACCTCCTCGCGTTTCTGTGATCCTGATAACAACTCCTCGTCCACCAATTTCACGACAAAAGTCTGGTAGACAGTGCAATTTTCGAAAGCCTGTAGATCTGTATCAGGATCGCAGAAACGGCAAGAGGTATCAATGCCATGGATTTGAATTTCGTGCTTATCTCATACAAAGAGCAGAATGGCGTTTGCATACCTCCTCGCCTTTCTGTAAACCTGATAACAATTCTCCAATGAATCATATAGATTTTGTATTAGGATTGCAGAAATGGCTAAGAGTATAGATGCCAAAGATCAAAATTTCGCGCCAACATCATAGCATGGTAGATTACCATTCTCATACCTCCTCGCGTTTCTGTGATCCTGATAACAACTCCTCGTCCACCAACTTCACGACAAACGTCTGGTAGACAGTGCGATTTTCGAAAGCCTGTAGATCTGTATCAGGATTGCAGAAACGGCAAGAGGTATCAATGTCATGGATTTGAATTTCGTGCTTATCTCATACAAAGAGCAGAATGGCGTTTGCATACCTCCTCGCCTTTCTGTAAACCTGATAACAATTCTCCAATGAATCATATAGATTTTGTATTAGGATTGCAGAAATAGCTAAGAGTATAGATGCCAAAGATCAAAATTTCGCGCCAACATCATAGCATGGTAGATTACCATTCTCATACCTCCTCGCGTTTCTGTGATCCTGATAACAACTCCTCGTCCACCAACTTCACGACAAAAGTCTGGTAGACAGTGCGATTTTCGAAAGCCTGTAGATCTGTATCAGGATCGCAGAAACGGCAAGAGGTATCGATGCCATGGATTTGAATTTCGTGCTTATCTCATACAAAGAGCAGAATGGCGTTTGCATACCTCCTCGCCTTTCTGTAAACCTGATAACAATTCTCCAATG